AGGTTAAAACGTTAGGCAGTAAGGAAGGAGAATGTGGATGGTTGTAAGCAGTTTATTTCGGAAAAGGGTCCAAAATACCCCTAAACTATTGGAAAAGGTTTAAAAATATCCCCCATCCATCTATTGGTCTAAAAATACCCCTCCATCCACTTTTTGGTTTACTACCCTTTGACCGTTAGGTCAATGCTAAATTAAAAATAATTATTATTCTTTTTGTAAAACTTAAACAAAAATTATTTTGCAAAATATTTTCGTTCTTAACTAATGCACTAATAGTCCACTAATTTAGTAAACTCTTCTTTTTTATTTTTTTCAGTTTTTACAAAATACAATTCAATTTTTACAAAAAAAAAATATTTTTCCAGTCTTTTTTAAAGCATTTTTCTTTAAAAACTGAATTTTCTTTTTGTAAAAACCAAAAAAAAATGTTTTTAATACAATATTTTCATTTTTTAAAAACTGAAAAAAATGTTTTCAACAAAATATTTTCGTTTTTGAAAAATTCTTCTTTTTTTTTTTTTCATTTTTTCATATTTTAAAGCATTTCGTTTTTTTTTCGTTTTTCAGTTTTTTTTAAGAAAAATATTTTTGTTTTTTAAAAAATTTGAAAAAAAAATATTTTTCAAAAACGAAATATTTTGTTGAAAATACTTTTTTCAGTTTTTAAAAAACGAAAATATTTTATTAAAAACATTTTTTTCTGTTTTTACAATTTTTTCAGATTTTACAAAAAAAAATGCTTTAAAAAACTGGAAAAAATAAAAAAAATATTTTTATGTAAAAATTGAATTATTTTTTGTAAAAACTAAAAAGAAGAAGAAGAAGACGACTTTACGTGCATTAGTTTAAAAATACAAAAATATTTTTTTAAGTTTTACAAAAAGAATAATAATTATTTTTAATTTAGCATTGACATAACGGTCAAAGGGCATAAATGAACCAAAAATATAGATGGAGAGATATTTTTAACCCAATAGGTGGATGAAGGGTATTTTTAAACCTTTTCCAATAACTTAGGAGCATTTTGAACCCTTTTCTGTTAAAACTATTGTTTCAACACCCACCATAAAGGTCACTCAGAATAACTTACTCGAGCTTCGCCCATACAAGTGAACTCTAGGTTACTGTTCGGGAGTTTCATTTACTTGTTTAAGTTTCGAACTCCAAGACATTAAGTTTAACTTGTATATGTTTCGAACTCTAAGACAGTCTCCTGGAGTTTGACCTGCAGTAGTTTGGACTCCAAAAAAAGCTCTTTATGTTTGTGTCGTTATTTTTCAATTATTTTCCGTATTTCTAAGCATTGGTTATTTTTCAATTACTGGACAAATGCTGATTCATATTCCTATTGGTAGTCCTAAAATGGCTACCTGGTATCATTTTTACCAGGTTATTGCCAACCTCCTCTGTTGCTCGTTAACTTGCTCCCCACCTTCTAGATAGGAATCTGTGGCATTTTCAAAAGGAAAATATTAGTCACTGCAGATTTACTAGAATATAATTTTAACAATTACATTTGGCAAGATACATGGATCCCTCTTAATCAGAATGATTCGTGATATGGGACTTGTTTATACACTTATTTTTTCCCTTACTCCTAAAGATCTTACCCCACAATGTTTATACTGATAATTAGCTGAAGGTAGAGACACCCCTAAGCCAACTCCTCTCATTTTACTCACACAAACTTCAATAAACATAAACAATTTTTTCACAAAAACAAATCTTCATGCTTCCCTTTGTACGAGTTCCATTTTATCCCAGCTTTTGATTCTTAAGAAGTTGAAGAACAGACTGTGCAGTACAATAAGAAATAGCCTGAATTGTGACCATTGGATTCACTCCAATAGCAGTCGGAAACACACTTGAATCACCAAGAAACAAACCTTCTACTTCCCATGTCTCCCCTTTAGAATTAACCACTGAAGTTGTTGGATCCACACCCATTCTACAACTTCCCATTTGATGTGCTGAACATATAGGAACTGAATGATTCCCAATTTTTATTGAACTTTCTTCTTTCACAAATCTCTCAAACTCCTTCAAACTTGCATCTTTCACCTTCAAACTCCTCCCTTTTCCATGTTGAGTTCCTATTTCTTCTGCACCAGCAGCTGCCATGATTCTTAGCATCTTCTCTAGGCCTAATTTTAGATTTTCTTCATCGATTCGATCCATCTTATAAGTTACTGAATAGGGTGAGAATGCTTCCCCTGATCCCTTGTCTCTTGCCAACGCTAAAAGATACGCGGTTCTTGAATATTTTGACATCCTCATCTTAATATCTAGGCCTGAAACCCATGGCATTAGTGCTGAAAACATGCCAGGGTGCAAACCTGGAGTTTGTATGATTGCATCATATCCTGATCCTTCGAAATTCGCCACGACTTTAGACATTGCTGTCATTATTCCTCCTTCGTAACTTTTCTTGTCCGCCTCAGGCCATAATACATTAGAATCAGATGGAGTATCTGGAAAGTATCCCCAGGCGATAACGACTGGATGGAGGTGTAAGTTTCTGCCGATATTTGGATTCTTTAAGCCACTTTTCTTGAGCAATGAAGGTGTGCTAAGAGCACCACAAGCTACAATTGTTACTTTTGATTTCACCATGCAAATTTCTCTCACCCCTTTTCCATTTTGAAATGCAAAAGCAACTCCAATGGATTTACTTTTTCCTGAATTGTCATTCTTTTTTACATGGATCACTTCCAATGCTTCACATTCAGGAAGTATTGCACCATTGCCTGATTTGACCAAATCCACCAGCCATGTCTCAGCTGTGCCTTTTTTCTTCCCATCTTTGCATCCCATGCTACACCATCCACAGTAATGATCCGACTGCGCGTTCTAGGGATTGTTTCCACTTGATATCCCAATTCTTGACACCCTTTTCTCAAAATCATGTTTTGGAAACCTTCGTCCTCAATTTCAGACTGAACTCCCATTTTTTGACATACGACCTTCAAAGCCCCCTCGTAAAATTCACTTTGAAACAGTTCGAGTTTGTACTTTTCAGACCATTCTTTTAGAACATGTTGTGGAGTTTGAATCGAAGCTGACCAATTAATCGTCGAGCCACCACCAACAGTGGATCCAGCAAGTAGCATAATATCCATGTCCTTGCTTGTTAATAGTCCATTTCCAAGATACATTTGATCCATTGAAGGACCTTCAAGAAGGGAAAGATTTGTTCTTGCAAGATAACTTCCTTTTTCTAGAACAAGTACTTTGTGTCCAGCTTTTGCAAGAATACCAGCTATAACTCCACCGCCGGAGCCTGAACCAACTACCACAGCATCACATTCAATTGTGAAATCAGGGCATTCTGTACTTCTCCTTGTGTTATTGAAATTATGGGGTTTTGACACAGAAAATCCCAGTTTTTGCAGCCTCTCGAACGTCTTTTTTTGTGATTGTTTTAGACTGATGATTCCTTGGTAAAGTGGTCCAAATAGTTGTTCTTCTTCTTGATCTTGAGGTCCTTGATTTTGCTTCTTAAAATCAGGATCAGGTCCAGAGTAGCCAAGTGCTTTCCATGAAGGATTCTGGCTTTTCTCATTCACCTAACAAGAAATTAAGATTTTCACTTTCAGGAAAGATCAAAAAAGAAGAAGAAAGTAAACTTTAATCAGGTTGAATATGAGTTTTAACATATTTTGTTCATCAAGTTAAGCTTGAGCTAAGTGGTGGAAGAATTGAACAGAAAAGAATCTTGAGTTCTAATGCAACCATTGTCCAATACTGTTGCAAAATATAAAGTCATCATTTCTTTTATTTGAAGGGAGCCTTGGAGCAACAACAAAGTTGTTTTCATATGAAATATACGTGACGAGTTCGAGCAGTGGAAGCAGTCACTCAGAGGCGGATCCAGTAAGAGTGAAGCGGTGTCACGTAACACCGCTTCGTCCCAAAATTTTTGTTAAATGTGTGTATAAATAATCTGCAATATACCATATAAGCAAATTAAATTATTAAGTGTGACACCACTTGCCATAAAGCCCTTCTTGGCCAGTTGGTATAGGGCATGATTTCTTTAGGGGAGGTCGCGGGATCGACTTCCCTTGGAGAGTGTTTCATTCAGTGGTTAAACACTTTGGCTTTTGTTGTTTCTTTTTAATTTTGGGTCAATTAAGTTATTCTTTTTTACTTTTTTATTCTTTAATTCTTTTATTTTTTGTTAGAACTTCTTAAAATAGTTTTATTTTATAAGTGTACTCTATAAAATTATTCGGGGTTCTCAATAGATACTTTTATTTATAATTTTCAACTTAAATTTAAATAAATTATCCGGAAGCATCTATCAAACTTTCAAAATCAAGTTTAGAATCTCAAAATTCTTCTAACTTGGAAGAAACAACCAATGGTCGGAGCAACATCGACAAAGTAAATGAGTTAATTTAAATTCCTTAAAGATTATCACTGAGAAAAGATTGACAACTCGAAAATGTGAGATGCTTTGTACACCGGCCTGTTTTTTATAAAATCTATGATGAGTATTAATTATGAATTTATGGGCCTCATTTATGACATGGTTTAGTATGGCATATTTGCACAATATATCATTTGCTTGAATAGTAGATCTTAAGTTTCGAGAATTATTTCGTTATATTTTTGTTTTCTAGTTAGAGTGCATCACGGCAAGTTCAGATTGTGAGCTTCTTTCAATTAAGTTCCAATGGAAATGTGATGTTAAGTGTGCATCTAAATCACTTAAAAATAACTGAATTTTCCAATATTACGCTGCTCAGAAAATGAAAATGCCCGAAAAACGTACTATCAATTATCAAACAACAAGAAAGCCAAATAGGCACTCTAATCAGCAAAAATGCCACGGTGACTATGCCATGTCATCTCTGATAATTTCAGTTATTATCACTAATTAAACTATATGGTTTATTGTAGTAAAATCATAAAACTCGATAAATAAATTTTCTCACC